GGTCATATCTCGGAAACTAAACGTTTCCCCGGGATGATCTTGTGCTCGTTAGAAAGGTGAGAATCTGAACTTTCATTTAGACTGGTTTTTGTTTAGATTCCGTCGATTCCACGATCGTGGTAAAATAAAAACTAAATTTTTGTGTCTATCAAAAACTGCTAAAACCGCGTAAGTGCCACTTAAAGCCAAGTAAACCCCAGAAAACTATACATCACTAGAAAGCTCTATTTAAGAGGAACATTTTAAAAAAAAGTTCACTGAAATCGGTTGAGATGCGGCGGAGACATGAATTTTTAAAGGTTTCCACTTTAAAAAATGGCAACGTCGCAACCCGGCGCTTCTAAGCAAAACGGCGACCGGTTTTGGGCGTCTCGGAAGCTACTGTATCGCCCCCAGTGATCAAAATTCGAAAATGCCTTGAGGCATTTTGGGCCGTTTTTTCACACACCTCTTCAGGATTCCCAGCGATCTGGAAAACATGGAAAAGTCAGGGAATTTGCTCCAAAAGTCCGGATTTTTTTCAAGTACTGAGAAAAAAAATTTAATAAATAAACAAATAAAAATAAAAGAATTGAAATTGAAATTGCAATTCCTTCGTTGTATTTTGAATTTTCCGCCATCTCATCCTCTTTATCGGCATTCGGAACGAATCGGAACTACTCGGAAGTGTTCGGTGGCTCCCCCTGCAGGTCAGCCATAATGATGGGGGCATCTTGTGCGACCGGTTGTGTCTAATGAAAAAAGAGATCGCAGGAGCTAGCCACTCTTCTATTCACTCCTCTTCGACAGAGGCGTAGGAAGGGGGGGGGGGCTGGCCCCCCTAGAATTGGAAATAGTATCATCTGCTCCCCCCCCCCAGAAATTCTGGATGTTGCAAAAAGACCTTCTTCAACGGTAAGTCTCTGTCGCCGTGGCCCGTGAGAGGATGCCTATAAATATAAAAACCTGTTAAAAGCAACAATTTCCAAGTATTTTAACCTTAAAATGTAAAAAAACTGGGTGATTTTTAGGCAGAAATTGAAGGAAGATTAGCGCCACAAGTGCCTCGAGATGCGCTCAAGTAGAGTTAAAATTTCAAAAATTTTCCAGGGGAGGCCCCCCGAAGTCCCCCCCCTGAGCTGGGGGGTATTCCATACCTCCCAGACCCCCCGGTGGTGGGAGGCCAGACCCCCCGGTGGTGGGAGGCCAGACCCCCCGGTGGTGGGAGGCCAGACCCCCCGGTGGTGGGAGGCCAGCCCCCCCCCCCTAGCAAAATGACCTAGCTACGCCTATGCTCCTCGATCGGGTAACCATCAATCTTCAATGTAAAAGTTTCAAGTACGCTCACTAGGATAGCTTGCGCTTAGCTGAGAACTATGTCTGCATGCTAAGGTAGAGGTTATTTTTTTGTAACTCTGCCTTTTTTTCCTAGACAATACGCTCATTTAAAAAAATATATATGCATTTCTCAGTTTTTTTAAGAATAATTCTTCATAGTCTGCAGAACGAAGACTGCAGGTTGGATTATTTTTTAAAAGAATCTGTTCAGTGCTCTTTTCCTTAGCATAGCAGCAATACCATGATGGGATTTATTTTTCAAATCCAATACTACAATGAGTAAATGAAACAAATTGAAAAATCATTTGCTTTCACCAATGCATGTATCGTTTAAGAAGGCGTTTATATCTCGCCAATTTTTTTTTCCAACACATTTTAAGTTTTTTTGTGATTTCATTCGTGTTATGATACTATCCTAGCCTGGTTCTTATAAAAAAAAGCTGAACCAGATCAAAAATTGATGAAAATAGAGGAGTTTTTACAAAAACCAAAAAATGCGCGCGCTGTCTCTTTTAGGGGAAATTATTTGAGTTTTTCCCACGGAAAAAGGCCTGGAAAAATTTTCATTTTGGCCTGGAAAACCTGGAAAAGTCAGGGATTTTTTTTTCCAAAATTGGCTGGGAACCCCGTTAATGTTACAAATAGATTCTACAAAGAAAAAGTACGTAGGTGTCTGTGTGCTACACTGCTACAGTCGTATTGGGTACATTTAGTCATCCATGTACCAAAAACGAACAATTTCAATCTAAAAAAATCATTGATTTTCCGTAAAGAATCCTAAAAAATCGATATAACCGATCGATATATCGACTCGTCATCATTAAAACTCCATTTTGCGTGTAAAAATACGTAGGAACTGGTGTGTATAATGTGTGTAAACAACGATAACAACCCCGTAGACACATCAATTCAACAAGAAAATAGCGAAGAATAAGCCCGGAGTTTGACCCCTTTGCCCACCCGTAACTCGAAAACGGTTCCTTTACTCATCTTGAAATTTTTTCCCGAGTTTTCTGTCATTATAAGCTTCCACTTAAATCTTGGTTTGATGGTCGAATCGAATACCGAAAAAGGGGCGAAAAGCAGCCCTTATTTTGGGAGGCTCTTTTACCGATGCCTTTTTTCAAGCCCTGCTGTACTTCAATGCTTCAGTTCGTCTTCTTTCACTTATGGTTCTTTTGCGATTTTTGACGAAATAGTTTGAAAAGGATCATTCGGGCGTATTTCGGGCAAACGAAACTACATGTGAATGGGCCTGTTGCATGCAAGAGATACAGCCGCGCGAATAGACTTTTTAGAGGTTAAATGACACGAAAATTACGATGGTCACATTAAAAAAGTCTGAAATACACTCCTTACTGCGCAATTTGCGTTGTTAGGAACGCGATTTTTCAAATTTCCCGCGTCTGGGGGCAGTTTTCTAATCACCGGAAACGAGCAAACGGCGGGCTCGGTGATTTCCGGAAGATATCGAGTCGTTGTTGTTGTTATTTTTTCCTTCAGTTTGTTTACAAACCCAACGTGATCTCTTATAGTGGTCCATATACGCTTTATGCGGTAACCAAATCGATCAACTTTTAAATATCCAACGCAATCCTTCTACATTTCATTTCACGATATCACGAGCTCCGATGTTTAGGTTATGTTGTCAGTTTTAGTTGACCGGAAATAGCCGCGAGTTGCCGTTAATTGTTTCCGTTAGAAAACTGCCCCCAGACGCGGGAAATTTGAAAAAGCGCGTTCCTGACAACGCAAATTGCGCAATAAGGAGTGTACTTCAGACTTTTTTAATGTGACCATCGTAATTTTCGTGTCATTTAACCACTACAAAGTCTATTCGCACGGCTGTATCTCTTGCATGCAACAGGCCCATTATGACATGATTCCTGTCATGCATACATTCTCATGGGTCTCGGGGCTCATGTCTTAATGCTCATAGTTCCGTTTGGCAGAAATACCTTCAGTTGCGACTGAGGGGGAGAGGTGTGCTGCCGTCCTAAGGAAAAACGCCGTATGAACCTTCAGGCGTTGCCAAATTTCCTCTGATAAAATTCGAATTTCTTTGGGAAATTGTAAAGATTTTTCTTCAAATTTTTCAGACTATTTTGTTCACACTTTAATCTAAAATATTTGAAAATTTCATGGAAAAATATCGACGGTGAAAGTCGGCAATCACATAACTCGGTTTGCGACGTCGCAGACTTCCTGTCATACTTTATTTTTTAAACGGAAAACTACTCAACGGTAATTCTTTAAAACTGCCGTGATTTTTCTTCTATGTGCGAGGAAAATTCTGCAAAAACTTCAAGGAATCATGTCCATTTGTTTTCCTTTAAAAAAATAACATAGTTGCGGAGATTTTCAGACACCGCAAACGAGTTATGTGATTGCCGACTTGCACCGTCGATATGCATTAATTTCGTCAAAAATACATGTTTTATCCGGAGGAATTTGGCAGCTCGCGAATGCTCATACGGCGTTCTTCCTTTGCGCGGCAGTATGAGCGAGGAGTTTCGGGGAACTTATTGCTTAATTGACTTATTTATGTTTGCGTGTACTTTTGTGTCTAGACTGCTGGAGAAATGAGCTGTCAGGCGGAAGAGGACGGCACATGGCGGGTTTATACGGACATTTCGATTGCGATTCACCTTGGTCACTCGTCATCTCGGCGGTCATGTCTATGAAAGCAAAACACGGCGACGATATTGAATTCATCATCTGGACAGGGTAACGCTGAACAATCAAACTACATCCTCGTCCGAGTTTCCTATATAATCATAATCATACGTGTCTTCATGCTCTCTTTTTTCTGTCATTCCCTGGTAAAAATGGACGACTAGACAAGGTACGAATGTAAGCAATCTGATACATGTTTCTTAACCAGAATTTCACGTAGAACACGATTAGCGCAACGAATATTACTGAAACTAACTCCTAACGATGATATCAACGTTTATATTTCACATAGGTTACGAGGAATTTGAACTGCCCGCTCACCAGAAACTCAAAGCTCTACGTAAGTCAAATCAAGCACAACAACGGTTTCAGCAAGCCTCTCAATCGAGCAATTATCATTTCTGACCATGTCTTGTTTAAACTAGAAGCAATTTGCTATAGCTGAGCCAAAGCGTCAAAATTGAAGTTGCCAGATTTTTATATCGCAGATACTGTCATGATAACGTTTAGCGCGCGATGTGAATCACGTAGAGCATTGAGTTTTCTTGAGCGGGTAGTTTGAATTTACGCATCAAAAATTATTAAATATCTTCGTAAGGAGTTGATTTCGGTAATTTTCGTTGTGCGAGTCGTGTTTTACGTGAAATTTTGGTTAAGAAACAAATATCAGGATGATGAAATTCGTACCTTGTCTAGTGGTCCATTGGCGATAAGAGCTGCGTTTCAAAATACCATAGGAATTCTTCTGGTCGGCTAAAGAAGGCTACAGAAAATCATATAGCTGGCTGCAGAATGCGGAGAAAATCATACGGCCGGGCTTTACAACTTTATCGCCTTGCTGTTGCTTTTTCGCCATCGATTATTAAAGGCTATAAGAAATTGTGTAGAAATGTGTGTGCTTTGGAAATTATTAAGTTCGATACGGAACCACCTTAATAATTACAAAATACACGTTCAATTTTCCTTGAATACATATTTTTTTCATCAATTAAAACGAGAATAATCCGTACAGAATGTGCAAACATTTCAAAATCATGAGTTGAATAACGCTGACTCCGCCAGATTAAATATTACAGCCTAACACAAAGCGGAGCGGCGACGCACTGGCGCCTACAAACCCAACAGGGATACTTTACGCATTGCGCAACGCGTGAAGTATCCCTGTTAGGTTTGTAGGCGCCAATGCGCGTTTCGCGCTGGCTGCCCGCCTGCCGCACGGCGCTTGAAGCAACTATTTCACACCAGAGGTATTGCTTAGTATCATACGAAACTGAAGGCGCTCTAATATATTAGGAATGGCAGGCATCCATCAAAAGCACGGAGCTTTCCTCTCAAAATAAATCTAGATACTACGGCCCAAAAAGAGAGCAGTGGTCCTAAAACTCACTAAGTGCTACTATCCGTAATTAGTGACGTTTGCGTTTAACATACACTCTATCGCCTGGCTGTGAGTTGCTTAGTCGCCATTGGCTATAAAAGGCTAAAAGAAATTGTGTAGCCGGCTATAGAAGCTATTTGAAATCTTACAGCCGGCCGTAGGTTTATGGTATTTTGGAACACAGATTCTACTGCCAATTTTAACCAGGGTTTCTATCTAATTTTAATTTGACACGGAACTATGCCCCTCTGCCACCCCGCGTCTTCGCCCGAAAAAGCCTCACTTAAACGTGAAAGTTTGGATTTTGGAAAGTGGCGTCAAAGAGAGAGTTAAGGTAGAGGTTTTGCATAGAGTACATATCGACGGTGTAAGTCGACAATCTCTTAACTCGTTTGCGGTGTCTGAAAATCTCCGCCTCTATGTAATTTTTTTAAAGGAGAACAAATTGGCATCTTTCCTTGAAGTTTACGCAGAATTTTCCTCGCACAGAGAAGAAAAATCACGGCAGTTTTAAAGAAATGCTGTTGAGTAGTTTTCCGTTTAAAAAATAAAGTATGACAGGAAGTCTGCGACGTCGCAAACCGAGTTATGTGATTGCCGACTTACACCGTCGATATGTAGAGTCGTAATGTAAGCGGGAGAGCTGGCGCCACTTTAAAGCATTTTCCAGGTCCCAAATTCCAAGAGTCCTGTGTGACGCTGGGTCACTTTTTCGATACACGATCGATTGTTTGCGATACACGGATACTCGGCAATCCGATGTAAAGGAAGGAGATAAGAATTACCGCGTATTCCACACCGCCATTTTGGATCGAACGTGTATCGGAAAAGTGCCCCGGCGCACACCGGGCTTGGAACCCGTTGAGCAGAACATGGCGCCAGCTCTCCCATTTACATTGCGACTCTATGTACTCTATGAGGTTTCGCCATGTGCAGTTGTTGACTCAATAAAATTAAATACTTTTGACGCAATCCTTGGGTTAAAAATACTCTAGATTTTCTCTCTCTCTTCTCGGAAATCAATCAAGACCTCGGATTTGCAATGAGCCTGGGGATTTTTGTACTACTGAGGGGTACGTCCCCTGGGCGCTTGGCGGTTTAACCCCTCGAAGCGCTCCTACCCAAGTAGCATTATCATCTACTTTCTAGGTGGCGCTCATCAAGAAAATGTCTACTTTCTAGATGGAACAATTTTCTTGTAAGAAAATAGGTATAAAGTAGATCTAGAAAATAGACACAAGAAAATCGAAAGTAAATACATTTTTCCTTGCATTTTCTTAAAAGAAAACATTAAGAAATTGGCTAGAAAATAATTCTACTTTCAATAAATTTTCTACCTTTTTTCCAAATGGGAAGTTGACAGAATGTAGACCTATGAAATAGATCTATTTTCTTTGGTCAGACTTTTGATTCGCAATGTTTTTTCTTTCTATTTTCCGGATAACTCTCATTTTCTCTGTTTTTTCTAGAAATTTTCTTAATATTTTTTTTCTAGAGAAAAATTCTATTTTGCTACTTGGGTAGCCTCAGGTGTGTGCGGTAATGATACGTCTCGTGATTTATTGGTATTACAGAGTAGAATTTGTTGTGCAGAGAGGGTGATTTTTTCGTTTTCAGAGACGGTCTTTCCAAGCACATAGTCGGGCAGTCGATAGACGTGGAGGCGCTGCAAAACTTGACGCAGTTACTGAGGTTCACATTCAAGAGCCAGTTCATCTTCCCGGTTTTGGGCCACGATGACCCCGGGGCGCGAACCAACGAGAAGCAAGCACTGGCAAAAGTCGCCAACCTCTGGAGCCACTGGCTTCCCTCCGAAGCCTTGCAGACTTTTTATAAAGGTATCAGAGACCTCCCTTTATCGTTAGTCCATCATTTTCCGCCTTAATGTAATAGCACCACCCGTGTAGCATTACCTCAACCGACACCATCACTCCATTCTCCCTCTATGTCCTTTGTCTATAGCCTTTTCTATTCATTTCAATAATAAGCCTGTAGATCATCAAATGAGGAGCTTGGAGGACAAGGCGCATAAGTGCAATTTTTCCTACTTCGAGAAATAGGTGTCTCAAGTCTCGAAATTACACGGATTCTCATGGCAGAAAAAAAGTTTCAACTGACTTTTCGATGCTAAAAAATTTGAATTTCGGAACGAATTTTTCACAGAATATGCATTATGACTAGTGCTACTGGAAATATTATTAATATCTCAATTTGTTTTAAAAAACTGCACTTTATGCGCCTTGTTCTCCAAGCCCACCAAATATGAGTGATATTTGGGGATGATAGGTACTGAAACGGGTCAGTTACGTTAGTCGCAAAATCGTGTTTTGATGGTTAAAGCATAAGAATAGCAGAAACGCGCACTTAGATGTGGCAGAGAGGAGCCTAGATTATTGGCGGAAAGACCAATTGTTGACTTGTTATTGCCCATTGCAAATTTTTCAGGCAATTTTGAAAAGAAGTTTCATATGTACGTGTTTTTTTATATAATGGGACGGCCTCCTTTCATCGAAATTAGCCTAACGATATACATAAAAGTCGCCAAAATATTCCACTCGTGTTTAATTTTGTAAAAAGAAAACTAGATACCCAACATTCTGCCTGAAACGTCTGAGAAGATATTCTGTATAAATCTAGTAGGAATCCAGAGGGAGTTTCAAAGTATAATGTTGCCTAGTTTGTGGTTTAAATGTACGGCTATTTCTCTCTATAGGGAGGTTTTCGTTTTAACGATCGTCGATCAGAAAGAGACGGACAAACTCCATCATCAATGACTTAATAGACTGAAGTACTATTCAGGGGTGTAAAATCTCCAGGATCCTTGGATCCCAGAATTGGACTACATTTTGCAATTAGGAACTATGAATTCTGGCCCGGTTTAAAAACAACGTATGTGTCATTAGTTTCCCTATGCACATAAGTGTTTTTTCAGATGAGCTTAAATTTATAGTTCCAAATTGCAAAATGCAGTCCAATTAGAGACTCGGAGTGCGCGCTGATCGGAAATGGCGCACGTCACTGAAGGTCCAGTATAGCTTCGAGAAATTACGAATTCTCAACGATTAAAGCGCGCGCCCTAATGAACGCGCAATGCGTGATGTATTCCTACATTCTCGTAAGCGATAATATGCGTTCAGGTCCACCGCCACTGTTTGGCGCAATGCTTGAAGTTTTCCTACAGTCTCGTAGGCGTTCATATGCGTTCATGCCGACAGCATGGTGTTTGGCGCAATGCGTGAAGTATTCTTCCAGGTTTGCAGGCGCTAGAATGCGGCTCGCGTCGACCGCGCTGTATTCGGCGCAAAAAGTTCAACTTAAGTCAATTTTTTTAGGTGAATCTTGCAGGGCACATGCTTCACCTATTACATAAGTGAACAAATGTCTCTCCTCTTTTTATAGAGTGATTTATCGCTCGAACGTTGGCTGAACGCCAAGCAGTCGTCACCGGCTAGAGCGCAAAATGGGGAAACAACGCGTTTTACACCCAAATTTTTTCACATCAATGTTCTGAATAGTTCTGTATTACATCCAAGTGATATCTGCTAGGTAACTAAATTATATTAAACCATTCATTCCCAAAAACGCGATTTTTTTCATGTTTTCATCGGTTCTAGCCAATAGCGACGGAGGTTTAAAGCCGTACAAGTTTCGGGCGGTACAGCACCATTTTTAAACCAAAATACCGTAATTAAACATGATTGGAGTAGCATCTTTGAATAATAAAACAAGGATTAAAACAGGAACCTTGATGCTTATTTTGTTTTTACTTACATAATATACTACATGCAGAGGTGGGAGCCGAAGCTTTTCAAACGTCCCTGTCTGAAGTCCCTGATGATGAACGCTAGACGTTTCAAAAGCTTCGGCTCCCACCTCTGCATGTACTATATTATGTAAGTAAAAACAATATGAGCATCAAGGTTCCTGTTTTAATCCTTATTTTATCAAAATAACGTACTTACACTGAAGTTTTTGATGAAGCTTGTCCTCCAGAGGCAGCACTTCAAGAGGTCAACAGAGAAAGCCGTATTTTTATCGAGTAAGCGAGAAAAGTTTGAGCGCTGAGTGTTGTTACCGAAATTGACCCATCTTCAAAAACGACGAAGTCGCCAAACCCCCCGAAAGGCAAGTCTCGCCAAAATGAAGTAAAATGTGCTACAATGTTGCAATTTGGCCTACCTCCTAGCGGTGTAACCCTAATATTTTCCATCGTTGCCAAGTTACAGCAAAATTCCGACTTTTTTTGTGCCCCCCTTGTATTTCTGCCAATGAACTATGTGCATTATGACGTGAGCCCTAATGCATGTGTTCTTATGAGTCTCAGAGCTCATGTCTTGATGCACATAGTTCCGTTTGGCAGAATGTTCCAGGAATAATGTATGAAATGAACGAAAACGAACGTTTTATCCTATATGTCTCGCAAGGTTTATTTTTGAACATGGATTAAAATAAATGGCTGATGAAGCGTTTTCTCGTGTGTAGGTGGTTACTACACGATCGAACAGAAGAAACACAAATTACGTATCGTTGCTCTTAACACAAACTTGTACACGACGACGAGACACCAAAGAAATTCACACGATGACGATCCGGCCGGCCAATGGAACTGGCTCAAAACGGTGCTAGCAACTTCACAGCTGAAAAAGGAAACGGTGAGTGGATTTCGAGTTTTTACAGGCCGAAATTTCTTACCGAGATTAAACTCATGGGCATGAGCGATTAGAATGAGAAGCATCTAGTCTGAATTTAAAAAACATCAACCTGCAAAAAAAAATGCAAGTCTCTGATGTAAAGCAGGTGGCAAATATAATTTTTAAAAAAAAATGTAAAATACCATTATTTGGAACAAATTTAATCCTGTATCTTTGGAAGAGTTTAACGCACATACGCGAGATACGCCAGTAGCGAGTGAAAATTTTACATATTTTAGCTCAAAAGTCAATCCTCATATTAGGGGAAACCCCTATTTTAAAATATACACTCTAAAAAAATTGTACTAAAAATTAAATTTTTTGCTCTGCAATATTAGCTAACAATTTTTGGTCGTAATATTCGATGCAATGTTTAACCTCCAGAGTTGTTTCTCCAGAAATGAAAAAAGGTGTCACCAATGCCATTAGGCAACGTATATAAGTAATTGGATAAGGTCGTGTTTTTTCTGAAGTTGTGTTCACTTAAGTAACAAAACACCGAACATTTGATTCCTCATCTCGAGCCTACAGCGCTCAGCGCCGAAAAATAGAACCATCCCGTGGCGGCAAAAGGAAGCGATTTCATTGGAGGACTGACGGATGGATTCCGAAAAGGCGCGGAATTCAATGTCGATCTCATGAGGCGCGCTCAGATTCAAAATAACGCTCCCGTGCCGGCTCGCGCGCTTTTAGCGATTCAGCTCTTTATAATGGAGTTCTGACAGTGTCTGCCGTTGGGGTTGAATTGACGTTTGATACATCGTATCTTTTCGATTGAGAGATACGATGCTTATAATTTATCATGAGAATTTGACACAGTTCAATTCTCGAATTTTGTTTTCCAAAAAATAAACAATTTTTTTAAATGATGATGTTTGACGTAAATTTTGATGGTGGAAATATTTTTCGGTTCGAAACCTATCAAATTATATCGAATTTCCTATCAAATTTCCTATCTAATTCCCTATCAAATTTCCTATCACAATATTTTTATTTGTGAAGAAAGTTATGAATATTTTTCCTTATTCAAACTTTTTAGATTGTATTACGACCGAAATCCTCCGAAAAATCGGAATAAAAATATTTTCGAATTTACCTGGAAATTCGTGATTTGTCGAAGGAGTTTTGACAACGCCTGGTGGCTCCTACGGCGTTCTTCCTTAGCACGGCAGCACACTTCGTCGCTCCTCTGACGTAAGGGCGTATCTCGATTTTTGCATGAGCCCTGCTCTGCATATATCGCCATGCTTTCTGGGGCTCATGAGGAAATTGAGATACGCCCATACGTTAGAGGAGCGACGACTTGACAGCACTTAGGGCGTTTTAAACTTTCACTTTGAACTTGCATTTGGGCAATATAATTCGTGCTTTTGGGGCTGGATGGGTAGGTGGGAGCTATTTTCGGCGCTATTCGAAAGCTATTGGATAATGCTATGAATGGAATGCTTTGCGGTTGATGCGGGAGGCTTGTCCTGTTGCAGGTCTACATAATGGGGCACATGGGTCCGGGCGTGGATGAGCGGCATCCGCAGGACTCGCCTGGTTTCTCCGAGCGGCACACTCGCCGATACCTCGAACTTGTCCGCAAGTACTCCGATATCATCGTCGGCCAGTTCTTCGGTCATCTCCACTCGGACACCTTCCGCATCGTCTACAACGAGACCGGTGAGTCCCTCGAGTCCGTCCCCCTAGAGAATGCTAATCCGGGATGTTGGAGTTTTTTAGCCAACGTGCGTAAAAAGTTCAGCTTAAAGCTGAAATCTCATTAGAGAGGGAAAAAGCTCACACACAAGCACAATTTTCCCTCAAATGCTAATCCATGAAAGAGGCACCTAACCAGAAAGCCCTTTAAATGCGGCTCAGTTCTATTGTGCTCATCATAGAGTCCTGTTTTCATGCTTGACTCTTGTAGAACAGCTGAAAATAATAAGATCCCTCCCAAATACATCTCTCTCCTGCCTTGTCCCCATGGGAAAGTGGCCCCATTGGTTTTTTCGTAAATTTTCCTGTCGGAAACTACCCGTGACATTGAAATTGTGACGTAATAAATATCAAAATTTTCATATTTCTCCATTAATATTATGTAAATTCCGAAAATGTGCTGTCTATTACGCGGTAAAAAGTCATCTTAACAGACAGCACATTTTCGGCCATTTATATATTAAAATTGAAAAGTTGAGCGATGAATCTTTGAAAAGCGTTATAACATGTAACCTTGTGTGGATTAATGCAAAAAAATTTGAGTGATTATCATTACTACTAAGAATATGACGGAAAAACGTGTTGTCTGTAACGACGACAAAATTATTCCAGTTATCGTGAAACCACCCGCATATCGACGGCGTAAGTCCGCAATCACATATCTCGTTTGCGGTGTCTGAAAATCTCCGCCTCTACGTTATTTTTTTAAAGGAGAACAAATTGACATCATTCCTTGAAGTTTTTGCAGAATTTTCTTCGCACAGAGAAGAAAAATCACGGCAGTTTGAAAGAACTGCCGTTGAGTAGTTTTCCGTTTAGAAAAAAAAGTATGACTGGAAGTTTGCGACGTCGCAAACCGAGTTATGTTATTGCTGACTTACACTGTCGATATGCAATTTTGGCGCTTACATGATTTGGAAAATGATCGGTCCAATTTTGCCACCTAAGAAAGTATTTTCCTTGTTCCTGAGCTCTTTTTTTCGTCGAGTCTTCGCATAACTGACGTAAGTTATTCTTACTCATCCGCAGGTCATCCGGTGTCGTGGATGATGATGGCGCCGTCGGTGAGCCCTCGCGTCCCATCCGGTGGCAATAACAACCCCGGAATTAGGCTCTACAAATTCGACACCGACACAGGCCAGGTAAACCCTCCCACTCACTCAACGACGCTCTTTCTAGCAGTTTGGATCCACGATTTGAAGAAGTTTCCGACTGCAAAATTGTACGAGGCATTCTCGGCAAAAAGAATTATCCATAATTTTGATTTCAACACCCAGAAATAAAATAAAAATGAACACGAGAGAAAGAAAAAAAGAAGAGAGGAGGAAAAAAATGAAACTCAAAATCGAGGAAACCTGATGTTAAAAATGTATGAGCAAGTAGAGAAAGAAAAAAGATGAAAGTGAGAACTTGGCATTATCCTTTCTACACTGATAAAAATTAAAATATGTGTTCTCGTGTTACTTTTGGTTAATTTAGGAAGTGAAACACAAATTGACACAAATTCTGGGTTGATTTGGTACATTTTGTGGTGAATTTAGCGCAACAAATAATGGAGATACTCTCATTTAATAATTATACCTATGGTATACATAATAATTATGTATAATATATAATAATTCTGTATATAACAATTCCTCCTTTTGCAACAAAGGTAAGCATTCACCACTCGTTTTTGCATTAAATTTTTTTAAGAAAAATAGCTGGCATTTTCTCTTGAAATTGTCAACCGAGGACTAGGGTTATTTTGTGTTTTACTTCCCATTAACCAAACTTTTTTTTGTTGAAATATGGCTTTGTGTATGAGCTTCCCATGATTTTAATACGTTGAGTTTCAGTGTTAAATACGCCTTTCGGCCTTTTTACTTGTATCCTCTTTAAGATAAATTGTTTTCATCTCTGTTTCGTAGGTTTTAGATTACACGCAATACTACCTTGACCTAGCTAATGCAAATGAAAGAGGGCAGGCAGATTGGGTGCCCGAATACAATCTCACTAGTTATTATCAATTGAGGGAAGTTTCCACCTCGTCTCTTCATAGTCTTGCCGAAAGGCTGAAAGACTCGTCTTCCGTTGAGTTCAACAGGTTAGTAGAATCTCAGCACTCTTGATGCAGGAATCAGGAATCACTTCAAAGACTTTAACGCAGCGCAAAGAAAGTAGGCGTGACAAACGCGAGTTGCTTGACGCATGTTCGACCGATTTTTGTGAAATTTGGTATCTGGTGGCATCTTTTGACGGGGAACTTGAATTTCAAGTATTTTAACTCAAATTTTCAATTTGGATACAACTATTCGTGCTTGACGGATGCCCGAATTGAATATAAAAAAATGAAGGTGCACAGGCTTTTCTAACGCTCACGGGAATTTCATTCCCACAGCAATCCGACCTGACTTAAACCATTGGATGATTATTGAAGTTGACAGACAAAGCAGGGTCAGACTGGCTCTCATCTGAGGGTATAGACCCTTGGCTGGTTAAAGGGGCGTAATTTGATTTTTCCCTCGGAGGGTACCCCCTACGTGGAGGGGGCTCAGAAAATGTTGGCAATGCAGCACAAGTCTACGTTATTTTCAGGTTCAAAGTTGATTAACCGTACGCAGTAAAATTTGCAAAATTAAACGTATTGAAGTAACCGATAGACTTTTGAAATTAGAAAAATGATAAAAAATCAAGCTACTGGACGCATCCAAGCACCATTGATTCCAAAAGAACCGAGCTAGAACTGCGGTTTAAGGGAGCTCTAGATGTGGGTCTGCAAATCCATCCTAAAAAAGAATCTTGACATGAACCTGAAAAAAAAAGGATCGAGGATCAACTCGGCTTAAGATAGTTGACACGCACTCAGGCCTCTTTTTTAACTTTTCTCCCGAATCTGAGCAGCACCTTAATGACAGCATATAGCGATGCATTGCGAGTTCACGCGTCACGCCAGCGCACCTTCAATTTTGCAGACGCAACACGGACATCCATCAAGTACGAATAGTTGTATCTCTGCGCCGTCAGCAACGCCCATTCTTTTCCTTGCTCTATTTCCGTGTTGTATTGGTTCCGTTTATTTCATTTGTAGTGATTCTTTAAGGGATACTGTTTGAAAATTTTACTGAGTTTTATTAGGGGCGCAAAGAAAATTCAGTGAAACTTTCGGACAGCTTCCTTGGTCAATTTCTCTGTAAAAAAATAAAATACGGCGGAAATTTTGAAGCATGGCTTGGCTCTTGTAATAGTTTGACCGTAAGGTGCCGATGTTCTCTTCGGCTATTGCTTCCGAATCAATTTCAATAATTGGACTTAATTTTGCAATTTGGAGCTATAAATTCTGTCTCATCTGAGTCATCTGAAGAAACAAGTATGTGCATGGGGAAACTAACGGCACATACGTTGTTATTAAACCGGCGCCGGAATTTATAGTTCCTAATTGCAAAATATAGTCCAATCAGTCGGCTCATTCCTCGGCTCCCAAGTAGCATTTTTCAATGTAAAAGTTGCAACAAGTTGAAACAATGTTGGTATTAGTTGCGACAAAGTTGCAACTTTCGGTCAACTTTTGGTCGATAAGTGCCGATTTTCGGCGATCTGATCGGAAGACAAAGTTGCAACCTGCTGAGCTTGCAAAATTGCTGCACCAAAGTTTTTTAAAATCTAAAGATAGGCAACCAGCAATACTCTGAAGTTGAAACATGTCTCAACTTAATTGCAACTAGTTCCGACAGTGATAGCTCCTTCGGGGGAGGGAGTAGGCAATCTGCACATCAATCTATTAGTTGCAAGAATCAAACGATTTTGTTGCAAGTTGTTGCAATTAACTTCTGTTACTTGGGCTGAGGTCTCTTTCCTGCTCTTGAGTTTTTGTTTCATGGAAATATTTGTTGTTTTGATGGCAGGTATTACTCGGCCAACTCGGTGCAGTACAAGAGGGGGAGCTGCGAGGAGGAGTGCGCCCACACGCACTATTGCGCCGTCACTTGCCTCGTCTACCAGGATTTCTCGCAGTGCATGGAGATGGCCGCCAGGAGTCGCGCTCTTGCATCCGGAGCCCCTTTCTCCCCCCGCAAAATTCTACTCCTCCCGCTTGTCGCCGTTTTTCTCTTCACCCTCATGCCGAGCCATCTTTGCCCACGCCCGCCCTCTTTCACGCTGTGAGATCTCTCCATGTCACGCTCAATTCAGAGGCCGAGACGCACGTGGAGAAGAAACCTCGTTTATACGAACCAGAAGCGGATCTAGCAATTTCCTCCAACTAAGCCTATGTTCAATAATATATTCTCGTCCTAGCACCTGGCCCCTCCAAGAATCTATGCATTTCCATAGGTTTGAATGGAGAAAAAACAATGTTGCCAATTTGCTGGATCTCCTAACGGTACGAACAATAGGCAGGTTCAGTGGTCGTTCAAAGGATGAGGCACCTCTTATTGTAGTCGAGCGAACCGACTTATTCGGTTGATGGGACAGGAAGGTTCAGTTCAACGGACCAAACGCTTTTAAAGTTGATATCAACGGCTAAAGTCGTAAAATAATGCGTATTTCCAATGCAATGCCTATGCCTATTAATATCTACAATTACGTATTTTTTTTCCCTACGAAGAAAAATAACCGAAATATCTCCTTGAAATCGTCTACAAGTATTTTCGCATAAGTAAGGGAAATTCACAGAAAATTTCAAGGAAAATTGTTGGGGGGCTTTCATTTACACAAAAAAAAAAAAACACCAAGAGCGGAAATTGGCAATATCACAATCAGAGGTGCGCATTTTTCAACCCTACTCATTGATGTGGAAAATGTTCCATTTCAAATTAACTGAAGTTTTTCGGTTGAATGAAGTGAGATTTCGGTCCATTGAAATTCTGTTAACTGATGACATATGTGTAGTTCACTGGACTAGGGGCCTATCCTTCTGAACCGAATGGTGTCTGCTGAACAACTCATCAGTCTGTATAACTTGAGTTTTTTTTCCCCCTGTGTGTGTGGACAAAAAGAATTTCTACAGATTTTCTGGCATTTCAGGAAACTTCTGTTTTCGAGGACTCATTATTTTCTGATGCCCAAATAGCGATGAATGAATAGCAATAGCATTGTCATATTATTGTGATTTAATTGAAAGTATGTTCCCTGTATGAGGAAATTACTGTGAAGACAGTGAATTAAAAATACTGCACGATACTCAACATCTTTTGTCGATTCAGCTTTCTTGAATATTTTAGTTAGAGGACACCACTGCTCATAACGATTTAATTCAGCATGGATGAATCCTAAGAAAAATCTCAAAATATACAACTTTATAGTGTGTACGGATTTAGCTCAGTTGTTACGTAATGAAATTGTTTGAAACTTGTATAATATATTCAGAATTCAAATCGATAATGGAAACATGATTTTAATTTTAAAATTATCACATTCTTTTCGATTGAACTTGAGGGTATTTTTGACGACTACCACAACAAAATATGGACTGCATTTTGCAATTTGGAACTATAATATCTGGCCCGGTTTCAAAACAACGTATGTGCCATTAGTTCCCCTATGCACATACGTGTTTTTTTCAGATAAGTCAGAATCTACAGTTCCATATTGCAAAATGCAGTCCATATGTACATCAATAGGGCTTTCTTTTTTAATCCAGACCGCAGTGGAACAAGATTGAGCGTTATGCTTAGATATGATTTTTCATTTTGGTCCCTGGGGGCGGTCCAATGGAATGCTAGACTGCTCTTCTGATGTGGCCCTCAATTGCGATGCACATCCTGCTGACGTTCCACTAAATCCACCATGATTCATAGTTAAAAAAAACCCCTACCTGTAGGGTATAATTTCAATAATGTATATTTGGTGAGGGTAACTTGCCACTTGCATATTGTTTTGGCTTTAAGATTTAGAGAGGTAATGTCTCACGAACAGTAATTGACACAGTATCACATTTAGGATTTTGCGAATCTTGATCTTACTACAACAAGAATAATTAAAGGAGGATAGAGATTCAACGGGTCTATATTGACTGCCACTACAGGAATGGGTCAATTTTATCTGCATGTGTATCAAAAGGATGTATTTCATGTAATTATGAGGTGTCTCTATTTTCCTTCTTTTTTGAATCTTAGCTTATTTTAAGATTTGAAAAAAAATTGAAAGTAAATGGGAGATCAAGCTGAATGTTTGTCCTATTTCCAAGCTTGATATGCTTCATCATGTGAATTTTGCTTCTTGATGAGGTTTTAAAAACCCTACTTTAATCCTTTTCTGAAGATTTTTTCTTCCATTTTCTAAGAATAATGTAAGCCCATTCAATTCAGTTCTCTCTGTTTATAAAGAATTTAAGAAATAAATTTTATATTTTTGGTTGATATGATACAATCTTTTTTTGACATCACCTAATACCTAATTTTCAATCAGGTTGTCAAGCTTGTAGTTTCTATAAATTAAAAATCTCTAACTTTATCCTTTTCCACAGTCAACATAGCCAACAAGTTATTTCTAAAGACAATACAATAAAAAAGTATAAATTGGGTAAAACAAGGCTGAAAGTATTCTTAGCTTTGTTTACTCATATTTTACTTTTTTAATCTATCGTCTTTGCATTTTCGGGCTACGTTTTTGTGCTTTACCTATCGTTAATTCTTAACATTCTCTTCTCCTGAAATTTAAAACATATGCAGTCCTCTTTTTATTGCGAATTTTTTTGCTTTGTTCAATTTCTGGTTTAATTAATGAAATTGTTCATAATTTGTTCATAATTGTTCTCGATCTTATTGGAAATCGTCTACAAAAATTTTATGCAAGAAAATTGGCTAGTTTTCTCTAAAAGACTCAATCAAGTGCAGAAATTTTAAGACTTTTTCAAGACATGGGTTTCATTCCTTCTTAAAAAGGTAGGGCACTAGGACATAAAAAAATTTAAACATATTAGACAGTTAAGGGTACTCTACGAAAATTTTCAGTTCCAATTATGGGGGAAAAATAATTGTTTTTTTCGGATCAGGCAATTAAGAATTATTATAGATAGAATACTTACAGAGATAGGTGTACTGGCACAATTAAAAATGTTTGTTATTTTTTCATTGCATAATAGAGAAGTTAAAGTTCTGGTCATTTTAAAATAATTAAAGAATTCATTTGCTCTGGAATTCAGCATTTTTATCTACCTTACTCTTTTTCATCGAATTCAAAATGAAAATGATTCATCCAATTAAAACCAAAGGCAAGAATTCACACATGAAAATACTCATTGGGGAGGAATAAATGGTAGACATTTTGTGGGAACATTTGTTTGGAAGAAAGAAGCCGAATATTCATTTCTTATGAGTGAACGATGTTCATATTAACTGTATGACAGGGAAAAAGATAGAAAATAAATAGTTTTTGTTATCATGAGGTAAGAATGAGAAAATTATAACTTTTGTACAAGAAATATATTTTTTATTGCATCCAAATAATGGAAATGAAAATCAACTATAATGAGTACAATTCGGGTAGGTAGGTATGAAAAAAGAGGATGGTCGTAACTCTAAGTTGAAAGTTATCTATTATGAGGCCAATAATGTGCAGGACAACCCAGCCAAAAAAAAAATGACAACAAAAATCTTTGCGACTCTTATGAAATTAGAGACTTTGATTGATTCTAGTGAAATAGCATAAAATGGTGGTCAGAAACTTTTCCGGGAAACAAAGAAAAAAAATTATTTACAAGCATTTTTCAAATGGATTTTAGTAAGTACATGAGTAATGCAGTGAGCTGAAACTTACACTCAGTATAGCTAGCGAGGAGTAAATTACCCTGCTGTAAAAAACAAGAGTTCTGTAACCTTACATGAGAGTTGCAGTCAAAATTAAGCCAAACGGAAATTAAGAACAACATGGATTGCCTGGCCAAGAAATGGTGGGTATAATTACATTACCCAGGCAAATCATATTTTCTGTCAGAGAACATAAAATGTCATAAGTAAGCCGAGGGTAATACTCCACAAAAATGCAATTTTAACTAATCAAACTTCTGACATTCAAAAGAAAATCAGGCTTTGAAAAGATTTCATGAAACATCAAACAAAATATTAAGGTACTGACTCAACAAATAACTTGAGAAAATGTGAAGAAGTATATCTAAAGTAATTACTAGAATAAAAGCATAACAAAACGAAAGCCAACAAAAAAGAGATAACTAAAATAAAATATGTTTACTTTTAAAAATATTTATTCGGCTAAAAATAAAAAATAACAAAAAAAAAAAAACAAAGAGAAAAAACAACGAAATGCTATTTACAAAAATATTAATTTTTTCAGTTAAAAAAGCAGAAAGAAAATACATTTTACTTCCAAGCAAAAATTTAAGTTGAAACAAGCGAGAAATATTGGCTTCCGGTTTGCATACCATTGATCCACAACAATAAAAGTAATAAAAATATAGATGTATTGCAGACTATATGTCCACAAATTAAATGAAAACTGAAGTAATCCAAATCAATAGAGTTTTCGAACAGATGTTCAATTGAATCAATGTGGGTGCAAGAACAACTCACATTCTTTTTCTAAAACATTTTTTTACAAAAATCTCCATTCTCCAAAGACCGTTCTAATTTTTGACTCTATAGAAAATGTTGTATAAGTTTCACACCTTTCCAATTTGAAGATTAGAACGGTTCAAATTAAAAGATAGTTGAGGGTTGATGTTTTAAGAAAGAGAGAGATATCATATCTTGCAATGATTAATTCAATTGACATGAAGAAGTTTTCATGCTGCGGATATTGGAATCCAACAGAAATGAAGGAGAGGGTGAATGAGGAACAACTGGAATTAAAGCAACATCCTATTTCTTTTATGAGACTCATGATTAAAAAAATATGCATTAAAGGACAGTTTCAATTTTAAAAGCTCTGGTGAAAGTAACTAATTATTTTTACTTTGTACATGCAAAAGCGTGAACGTTTCGGTGGATTTAATATCTATAGTGTTCATGATGGACTGGTGGCTTGAATGTATATAAAAATACTTAGCATGATAAAATGTTGTCAAATTGTGATGTCATTCCGATCAAATAATTTAAAACATGAGGGGATGATATAAAGTACACATCTCTTATTTCATTTTGCGATGATACAACATCGCTAATTTTGAAAGATACATGTCAATTCCTCACTACTCCAAATCTGGGAATCCAAATATTTGTACATACTGAAATTCCAATTCCGCTAACTACTGATATTCTATGGCCAAGACAAGCTGTGATCATATATTTTAAAATCTCATTGTCAGAAGTTTTCTTCAACAGTGACTCTCTTAAGAGAAATCCTAATTTTAATGAATTCAATTAGGGATAACCATAAAAAATGGTCAAAAATATAATGAATGCAATATTTTATAATGATTTTCTACTTAAAGATTAAATGACAAAAGTTAACAGATAATTTTAACATGAGATTTATCATCGGTAAAATTACAGGGGATGAGATTGGGATAAATACTCAGATTCGGGGGGGGGGGGGGGGACACATATCCATAAAAAGAGGCTAACAAATGCTAAATTGATTCATGGATCTTCGCAGAGGCATTGGATTTTTTAAAAATTAAGATAAAGTAGAGAGGTTAAAGGGGGTGATCCAAGGTCTTTACATGGTAAATGCAAAAATGTCCAAGTCATGAAAATTGAAAACAAAAACACTTAATCAGAACCAGTTTACTTTTTTCTCCTGTCAAAATATTTACTTGTTGAGGCCATAGATTGAAAATATGGGCCACTTAGTAAAAAATTAAATTTAATTCTTAAACAGGACATACAAATCATGTTTAAAAGTTATGAAAATTTTATAAAAGAGTATTTCAACCACATTAAATTTTCTATTGGGTTACTTGACGAGCTCCGGGATTTGATGACTAGTGGCAGCAAAGAGCATCAGTCGATGATTCCTGATTACGAGCTTTTATCAGTTTTTCCTTGAGTGCCGCTTGCCGCTTCTTCACTTTCTGCAATAGGAAGGAACATTGAATTAGGAGGACTGAGGCGATAATACGAACTTAAGAATGTTTGTACTCGATTCAAATTCATTATAAAAGGAGGATTGTACAAGAAATTTGAAATATATATTTACAGGAATTTTGAATTTCGCATTAGGTTTCCGAAAAAATCAGTTTGTCTGAAACTAAACCGTGTAAAATTACTGTAAAGAGCTATGATGTCCCTAAAATTGGACATTCGCAGGTTAAGCTTACTGCTGAGTATATTCAAGCATTACTTTGAATATAATAGAGTGAGAGCTGGGTGAAACAAATGTCAAACTCGAAATGTTTGCAGGGTGTCTTGCGTCAGGATTTTCTCGATTCTATCAGGATTTGACATCAATCAGGATTTAATCCAAATTCCATCAGGATTTGAGAAAAAAATCGGTTGTAAAATCAGGATTTGAGAAAAGTCGGCCGTCCGCTCGTTAATTATCTGATATCCGTTTGTTAATTTTTCTCTGCAAAAAATCAGGGTTTGAGAAAAAAATCAGTCGGAAAATCAGGATTTAAGAAAAGTTGGCCATCTGCTCATTTTCCATTAATTATCTGTTATCCGTCCGTTAATTTTTCTCCACAAAAAATCAGATTTGGAAAAATTATGAAATCAGGATTTCCCAATATAAAAAAGCTAGACACCCTGGTTTGGCAGAATTTATATAGAATTTTATGTGTGTTGCTTCTTGTACAATGAATCTACAAAAATGTTCTGCTAGGTATTCAATATTATTCAATGCACTGTGTGTCACCATCGTTTCGTTGTGAGACTGCTTTACTTTTAGGACGGTTCAACTTCTTAGGCTCATTTTCCCAGAAATTTCTTTTTTGGGGGATTTTAAATATCCTTGTTCTTTTGTTACCTTTCCTTCACTTTTTCCTTACCTTACATGTGCTTTTCACTCTATGAAGGATCTTCAATATTCACCAACAAAAACATTATGAAAACGATGATACTCATTTCAGAAAAACTGGGCTCTTCAGCTTTGAGCAGCAAAAAATAAATTCTGAGAAATTTGCATTCAGGCATAAAGACTTGAATATGAAAATTTTAAATGATACAAAGAGCTACTTGCACAATCAATGATCAAAGACAGCAGAAGAGTTCTGGGCTCTCGCTGTTTTTAATTATTGACAAGCAGGTGAGTTCTGTTCAATAGTTTAAATTTTCATACTTAAGTTTCTTGAGCTGTTTTTCACTTGGATCTAGCACAAGACTTAAAAGTCCATTTTGATACATCTGAATTTCAACTATACGTCCTCTCAAGATGTTCAACACTGACATTCTTTCATGCATGGGTAAGTACTTACAGACAGTCAAACTAGAACTACTAGGACTAATATTTAATTGCTGCAGTAACAATTTTTGTAGATTTAGTGTTAGCTAGGCATGCCAGAAACTATTGTTGTTTCTAGACAATATACCAAAAAGCAATGGTAGATTTATTCTCATGCGGGGCACCAAAAGCAATTACCGTTTTATCTCACTATAAAAGTGGGTAATTTCGCAACTAGACAAGAATGTATGATGTGTATCAGAAACGATTACTTGAAGTCTGAAAAGCCATGTAAAAAGCTTGTAACGGTAAAATTAAGCGGTTGAACTATTGAATTGTTTCAGCCCTCTTTCATTCTGCAGCAAGACAATCTCCTCTCAGCCGATTTCATAACTTTACGTCGCTTACTACTACTTCCTTCGATCAGGGGCACGGAATAATATTCTGTCATAAAAGGTGAACATGACAAAAATATTGGACAAAATACTATTCCGAAATGAAATTTGTTTTCATAAGCAGTATGCTGAACGAGACCTAAGAAAAAAATATCTTCATGAGGTCTTTTACATTATGACAGGAGGACCCAACTCAGTATTTTGTTGGGGGGGGGGGAAGAGAGATATACCCTACAACTTTAAAATCTTGATTGGTTTTAATTTGTAAAACTCATCCCAAAATTCATATTTTTTTCCTCTTTCTTTCGAGTGACAATATGTAAGGGAAACTTTTTGCACAATTTCCAAAGAACTATTTCTAGAATATGATTCTGTGGAACAAAGTGCACAGCAGGAATAAAGTGCGCAGGAAAGCATTAGGACATAACATATAGATACCTATAAGAAGAGACTTTAATCATAATTTTTTCGGGAATATAGATATTTAAATATCTTGGTTTCTATTATTTGGATCACATTATAATGAAGTGTAGGAGGCAGATGAAGGAGAGCGAAAATACTGCATGATATAAGCATGAGCAACAGGAAAAGGCCAAGAAACACTTCAGTGAGCATTACTCCACCATGTTATCTGCAAAACCAGACTGGAAAATTTCATGTTTTCCTGCACTGCTCTTACTCTGGAGTCTGGACTACTCTTAATCTACACACTATCATTTCTCCTCATTTTATTTTGTTGTAGTAAATGCCCCATTACATGCTTGAACAGCAGTTACCTAACAGTTAGCGTTCATCTACTGTGAGAAATAATCTCTTCTGTCAAGCAGTTTTTCAAACCTATTTCAAAGTGGGCTGTCGTTAAAGAGGATGTACTTTGACTTTCTTTTCGAACTACTTCATCGCGCATAAAATCAAATGCAAAAAGTAATTTTTAAGGGTATACTCACCGTTATGAGAGGATAAGTCTAAATTAAACCTCCAGTCATGCTCTCTAGGATCAACTTCTATTTCTTCATCCATACTTATGTCATACTTGAGTAGCTTACGAGGTTTAGCTTCAACTAATCATCATCCAGCCCAATACACAAAGAAAAGCACAAAAAGCCGATCTATTAGCTAAATTAATTAAATTTACAGTGAACAGAACTTACAAAGCTAGACTTTGCGGATGCATAATGGTAAATGTAAATGGTATTAAATGTGGAGACTTTTACCTATGAACTGTTACACAAGATCTGAATCCAGCAGGAGGAGTGGTAAATCCACAATTATCAGGGAGCAGTTACCCTGTCATTTATATTTATCAGCTATCAGAGGAAGACAGGCAATTTTCGTGGCTTTGTAAATTCTTGTAGCCTTCATGTCTTTCATATGGACACCTTGCCTCTGCTTTCCATTTAAAGAAGGAAATGATCATATTGATGGCCAAAATGTGATACATTGCATTTCCGTTTGCGACGTTTCAGACATCCCGCTATACTTTATTTTCCCTTCGGGAAACTAGTCAACGTATGTAATTATTCTTTTGAAAACTTCCTTGCCTTTTCTCCTATGTTAGTACCTGGAATATTCTGTATACATTTCAAACTATAAAATTGGCACATTTCTCTCTGGCAAAAACGAATTAGGATGAAAATTTTGAGTCACCGCAATGGAAACACGTCCTTTTGCACATTGACCATCAACATGTAATATTAGTTGAATTTTTGAGAAATATTTTAATGCAAGTTGATTCCTCCATGCTACATTCAAATCATGCGGATAGTATTCTCCGAGAATACCAGCAGCATACAGATACGTTAATTTTTTAAACTTTGATGAATTAGTCCTTCATTATCAATTTAAAAAATTGGGTGTACATGAAGCATGAAGTATAACTTTCAATCAGGGGTGCAGAATCTTCTAAGCTTCCACATTTTCACGCGCCCACTTGCCGGCTTTTCACATTTTTCTCATCAGTTTTCAACAAAATTTTCCACCAACTTAAAAAAAGAGATTACCCTTTTCTTCTTTTTTCAATTTACTTTTGACTTTAGACCCTTCAAAATGTTCCCTCTTTCGGTATTTTTAGGGGCTTTTCCACATTTTCAAGCACCAACCTGTAGGCGCGTGATCAAGTATTTTCTGCAACCCTGCTTTCAATTCTACCTTTTGTTAATTTTTTACGTTGAGTATAAATTGAAACAAACATGGATTTAAGCTATTCTTGACGGTCAGGATTAATACACTTTTCGCAAAGCTTTACGCACCATACTACTTTACTTTAATTTTAAGACACCCTCGATTATAACCAGTCTCAAAGAATCGTTCAAAAGAACTATTAAAGTGATTTAGAGCTTTCAAGTTTTGAGCAACCTTTAACGTTAGGGTCACTTTGAGCTCCAAATCATACAAATTTTCTGTACTGCTGTGCTTAAGAAAAATGCCATATGAACCTGCAAACGTTGCTAAATTTCCTGTTAAAATACGAGTTTTCAGGGTGATCTGTAAAAATTTTTCCACCAATTCTATAGAAAATTTTAGTGGCAATCAGATCCAAATCATTTGAAATTTTTTTTTTAAAAAAAAAAAAAAAAAAAAAAAAAATTAGGAATGACTCTCCTCAGAAATGAGAATTTTATTGCAGGAAATTTTGCAATTTTCGAATGTTCTTACAACGTTTTTTTTCAGCAAGCAGTACAGCTGGCTGCTTCTGGTAGACTCCTTTCATTTCAAAAGGTCTGAATTTTTTTGAATTGAGTTCAATTTCTTGTCTTAGGGAAGAAAATAGATTAAATTGCATATTTGATGAGACCTTACACTGAAATCAATTTTTAAATGCAGTTGTGAAGAGCATTAAAAAGGGAGCAATGATAAAAATTTTCAATAATGAGTCATAGAATAAGCCAGACAGAGAAAGTCAATTTGACTTCAACAATAGAAAACGGCTGCAGATTCCTTCGTTTGGCTCTAAAGATGTGAAAGTATCATCTAACTTAAAATTAAAGTAACTTTTTTGAGATACTGTGAACAGATCATGCAACAAACTATTAGCTACAATTAATTGAATTTTTATCGAACTTAACAAGATATTTCGTTTTCCTTCCTGTTTAAAAACGAGAGCATTACAGATTAAAAAGAGGGCCACTGTATTACAGCTACAAGGTGTTGTCCACTGGATAAACTACAGAAAACTTTTTGCAGACACAATGCCAGTTCTACCATACAAATGTCTCTCACAATTTATGGACCATGAAGACTATTCTCAGTTTTATTCCATGGTACCAAAATGAAAAACGGAAGTCAAACTCGTTTTCCTGATACTTTGGCGTTAATACTTCTTAGTTTTTTCATACTCCCGGCAAATGGTTTACAACAGACGACTCTATCACAGTGTTAGATAGATAAGTAAAACTTAATCTTCTTGAGAATCAACGACAGTTGTCAATCAAGGAGTGAGAAGTACAGCGAATCCTACAATATTTTATCTTCTCGTGTACTTTGACTTGGATTTAATGTTTCCAATGATGTGGAAACGAGATCAATTTTTTTCTCGTGCTTAGTAGAAAATTGAGAAAAAACGTATAATTCTGTTTTTCAAGTTGAGAAAAATTTCATGGGTTTCAGGGGAATAAAATACGGGAACTCACTCATAGAATGACCCTTGATACGTAGACCAAATCAAAACAGTCTGGTATAATTAATTTTTTAGAGGGAGAAACTATCAAATGCTATTCTTCAATAATGTCTTCACCCAAGAGCAAAAAATTTGATATTTCAATAAATTAAAATGATTTGTAACAGGAGAAAACTATGGAAGGTCAAATGTTGATAGTACTGAATGGCAACTTTAATGACTTCTTATTACAATCTAGAAAAACTTTGGAGCCTTTTTTTCTCATCTAAATAATTTAGACGTCGTCTAACTTGATTGAAATTAACATGGACAAGTATTTAGGCCTTTCCAAAAAACTATCACGATACATAGGCAAGTGCTATTGAAAAGCTACGCTGCTAGCGGTCATGCATAGATTACGATTATCAACTAATGCTATGTATATTTGCTAAGAACGAATCCTTACCGACTCCAGAAGCTCCTGATTCCACAGCTGCTTGCTCGCCTTCTGAAAAAAATAGAATGATGAGAGGTTAGAGCAGTCATTACAACAACATTCAGAGAGAAGGTAAGATACCAACTTCAAGCTGTTCCTCTGATCTCTTCTAATTTGAGCAAATTTAGAGTTTCAAATCTAAACCTTATTTTTTGTTTGTTTTGTATCTATTTTTTGTGGGGACTATTAAGGCATCATGAATCGGATGCATCCTAATCTTAGAAAAAAAGTTTAATCATGTTTGTAAAATAATACTGGTCGACCAAATATGTGCAAATTCCGACAGAATTTTTAACAATTTGCAATGTATCACTCCGGAACTCAAGAAAACGCTTTTTTCGGTCGAGTTTCTCTGGTGAGAAAAATTCACCTATTATGACGGAAGTGAGTATAACCATTATCCGCATGTTCAACAGATGCAACAAAAAATTGAAAGTGTATGCTTTGAAAGTTTTACGCAAACTAGATCCCACTGTTTCTATTACAAGGAGAGACAGAAATTAAGGACGAAACAACCAAAAAACATTGCATGCGGTTAGGACAAAATGATAAAACTAACAAGAAGCCATTCACTCAGAAAAATAAGTCTTTGAGTCTCACTAGATTCTTTGACCTTAAGAGAGTGTTAGGATTACGTGCCAGCTACTGAGAAAAATTTAATCCTACATATTACAAAACTTAAATAAATTGATTTCTTGAGACTAAAAATAGATAAAAAGTGACTAAAGTCACAACATACACTTAATTCACCTTCAAATCCAAAAATTATTACGATCATATTACTTTTATTTTTTACAATATTTGATATGATAAATATCCAGAAGCTTATTACTTTAAGAGACATTTAAATTAAAGCATATAATTATTTTAGTTTTCGCACAATGCCTTCATTTTCAACTTTTGTGAAAAGGACAATGCAATGATTAAGATTTTCAATGTTATTTCACAAAAAGGATCGAAACATTCCTGTTTAAAAGAACATAGCAAAACGTGACAAAAATTTTAATCGGAAACAAAATCATAGCTGCATAAATAGATTTTAAAGTAAAATAAATCTTTGAACACTCATACTTTTCGACAAAATGTGAGATTCTTCCCACTTTCTTTCGACATCAATTTTTTTCCCCAAAACTGATGGGCAATGACATCGTGCAACAGAACAGAAGATAGGAGGGTAATTAAGCTTAGAATTTTTCTACAGTAAAAAAGTACTGCTGACGCTCTAAATGCCCTCTCTTTCCTAAAACGTTACTTCCGTATCAGATACATGGCTTGAAAAGCTGTTGGAAATTTAGTTGGGTGAAAAAGGAAGTGCTCTGTACAAATTTTCACTTAATTTCAAAGGCATTTTTATCAAAAAGTCTGCGCCAACAGATAGCTCTTAATGAAGTTTTTTTAGAAATCATTGCGACCAACATTGCTACAGGATATTTAAATGGACTTACACAATGCACATGCATAATTTTAATTAAATTAAAGTCAGCATGATTCAATCAATGAATGATGAAGGTATCAAGCGTCAAAGGGGGAGAAATCAGGTAAAAGGGTATGAATGGCTTTGAAAAATACTTAATGAACAATGGTGAAGCCTCCTTTTAAGGCTTCAAATACTAGAATATATACAAAATCACATGAATGAACAAAAATGAGGATGAGGTTAGATGAAAAATGAATGATCTCTAGTATGAGCACATGAAAAATTGAGCAATGACTGTTTCCAAATTTTGCCGAAGATATGTTTGGTAAACAAATCAATATGTTCTTTCTTGCTTGACAACCACAACCGAGGGACCCATATTTTTTGCTGATCAACAGATTCACGCTTTGCAAGTTCTGAAGGTCTGAAAGTCCTCTCCTCTGTGCAGCAATTTTTTAATTTATCTGGATTTTTTTTTCTTTTCCATTTTCTGCAGCTTTTTGGCAGCAGTAATCGAGCAAGGATACAAGAGGAAAAAAAACCACGATAAATTTTGAGAAAAAATGAATTTCTAGTCAGTAGGAAAACTTGCTGACCAAAGTCAATATAAAAATCCTTCTTTTTCATACATATACTCTGCTACACCTCAAAGGATTAAAAATAAAATTGAGAGAATGTTAAAACACAGAAAATGAATGATTAAAAGAAGCAGACACACAAACAAACAAAATCAGAGGATTATTTTGATGTACCTGAATAAGGAATGTTAGTAAATCCACGGGTGTCTAGGACAGACGGGGAATGACGATGAGAGGAAATATGATGGAATTCTACAGAACTTTTGATGGAGGAGGAAAAGTCAGAGAGATCGTCAGAGCTTTGTCGCTCAGTACCTGGGAATGATTCAGTTCTTTCCTCGGAATGCTTAGAGTAACTATCACAGTCTACATCAGGTTCAGTCTGCAGGTCTTCAGGCTTCAAAACTACTCGTCTCTGAACAACACGTTTAATGTGCAACTGTCCTTCAGAGTCCACCTCATGTGTCTCAGAGACATCCTCTCCTGGACCAAACTTTGCAATGTAGTCCTGAAGAGCCTTTTCTGCGTTTGGACCCGTAAATGTAACTTTGTGAATTTGTGGTGGCATTTCAACTGTCCTGTGAATTGTATGAGTGTAACCTTCCTCGTCGCCTTCTAGAGGCTCTATTTTTTCTGTTACGTATGGTCTTCCATCTTCAAACCATATTCCTGCCCTCGCAGAGTTGGCCAGATTTTCAGCAGAAGACATTAATGTATTGGAGCCTGCGCTTGATGACATCAGAGATTCATTTTCATAATGGTAGGTTGCATGAGTGCCTGCTGAGCTAGATGGTTCTAAAGAATCGGTGCTACTTCCCATGACGTCTCTGCAAATCACAGTTGTATTGGAGGAGTCTGTAGTTTGACTACGGCTGCCATACCTATAGTCTTCACTGTCCAGTTCATACCCTGAACTATCCTCATAAGTTTCCGTAAAAACTTTGGCACAAACTCTGGATTCCATTTCCAGTGAGTCGGTCATAGAGCTTTGTTTCATTTTCTTCTGCTTTTGTTGGAATTCTATTGAGTCTGTACTGGCTGACATGACATCGGATTTAAGCTCTAGGGAGTCAGTGCTGGATGTTAGGTGATCAGAGAGTTTGGCTTTTAAATGGGGTGGTTTAAAGTCTAGAGAATCGGTGCTGATAGCCATTTCATCATCAACATCGGGCCATTGTTGAATAAACTTCTTGCCACTGTAAATTTCAGGCTGAGATCTGATTGGAGATACCAAAGGTTTGTCAAGTTCTAATTCTGGAACCCTTGAGACTTCTTCTAAAGAGTCTCCGCGACCCATCGATTCGGTTCTTTCCGCGAACTGCTCCACATTCGACTGAGCTTGTCTAATGATTTCGTCTATCTCAAACATACGTTTCTCATAGTCTTCAGAGTTAGAGTCATTTCCCTTCATGGCAGATATTGTTTCACAGCTCTCAGATTCAGAGGCTTGACTCTCATGACCTTCTTCTATTTGAGAGAGCAGAGCCTCTTCATCTTTCGCTTTTTTCTGAATTATTTCTGCCTCAATACAGGCTAACTCTAACCCTTCATACTCTTTCAAAGAAGTGAAAGAAATATTATCGTAGCTGTGATGTGGTTTTTTACTTCCAGAACTCCATGTGTCTAACGAGTCTTGAGAGCCTTGTGACCTTTTAAGCGCCTCAACAGCCATGAGTTGCTCGAGTTTTTCGAACTCCTGCAAGGAGCTGACAGAGATATTATCTTTTTCGTTGGATTTAGAGAAATATTTTTTACCAGCGAGAACATCATATTCAGGTGTACTACTAAGAGACTTTTTGTCACTTCCGAGGCTTCCAAAGGATTGACTAACCTGACTACCTGCGCTACCAACTTTGCTACTTTCAAGATCAGTTACATCCTCTTCTTTGATGTCTTCCAGCGGTGCATGACTAAATTCACCCTCATATCCATATTCAGCAGCCGCTGAAGTTACACCTTCAAATTGCATTTCTAACCATTTTTTACCATCTTCAACTTCATCCTTGAAGTCGAGGTCACTGCTGGGAGAATTTTTATCGGTGGGACTTTCATCCAAAGGGAAAGACAAATCTTCTGGTAATCCACCAGCTCCATAATAAGTCATATTAGTCATTTTGGCCTGGGTTTTAAAAACTGTTGGACCTTCATCACCATCCTCATTGTCTGCTTTTCCTGTTTTATTAAGGTCACCATCATTTTCAGATAATTTTAAAGCTGAGACTTTTCCGACAACTCTCTTCTTAATGTGAACACTTTTCCCTTCGGTGTCTAGCTCATTGGCCTCTTTAGCAACTTCTTCGATTACAACAAAGTCATCAATCAAATCGGGTTTTTCTAGCAGCTCAAATGAGTCACTGTTCGGAGATTCAGTAATGGATTGTTTTTCAACATCATTACTACCCTGCTTGGAGACACACTCGGTTTCAAACGCAGTTTTTTCTTCTGTAGCTGCTGAAGTTTCACCCGTTGTGCAACTGATTTCATCATCATTGACGACGTATTCTTGTCCTTGATCAGTCTCTGTTGTTTCGGAAGATGTTTTACTGGACATTGAAGCAGCAGCTGAATCAGCTGCAATTTCGTTCTCTAAATCTGGATACTGAAACTCTTTATCGTCCAGTGGAGCCATGTGTTGTGTGACAGTTATATCAGGGATAGAACCTACAGACAGCCTTTCTGCCTTGCGTAAAGCTGCTTTCCTCATCTGCATTTCTCTTTCCTCTAACTCGTAGTTCTCAGCAGCAGGGTCCTCTATAATGGTGGGGGGCAACGAAGCTGGAACTGTGGGCGTTAGCCGCGGTACGACATGAAAAGCAGCCTCAGCCTCGGCAAGTTCTTCTTCGTGATCACCATTGTGTTGGAATGGAGTTTTATCTCTGGCAACAGACATGCAAGATTCCAATTCTGGTGAACAAGAGAACTCATAAACACGTTCTTTCTCCAGCTGAACCTCAGGTGAAGCATTTGACGGAGAATCAGGGTAATCATCTCCATCGTAACAATTAGAGTGGGGATCTCTCTTCAGTGCAAACCCATCGTCTCCTCGTTCTGCTTCTGACTGGTTATCAAAAATGTCTGGCGTTTCTGGTGTCGCAGGTGGCTCAGGAGTTGGGGGTCGCTCGATTGGATCTTCAAATGCACCATCTGATGAACCCTGTTGAAGGAGACTTGCCAGTTCAGAATCAGGCCGATCATCTGAGAATGTAGAGGAGGGGAGCCGCTGACCACTTTCTGAGTCACTTTTACTGATTTGTGAGTGGGGTCTGCTGTCAAGTTCTCTAGAGTCATCCTCTGTTGGAAAACAGTCATCTAGAAGAAGTTTCCCCTCTCTAATATCTCTATAAAATCCCTGGTCTGCTTCTGTATGAAGCGATTCTTCATACCTTTCTTCCAGTTCTCTTCGATCTAAGGCTGAAATACATTTTCTATCGTTTTCAGTGTACCTGTCGCTTTCAGCAACATCTTCTAGTCCCTCGGTAAACTTTATACCTGACTGAGTTTCTCCTCTAACGGCTACAGGAATCCTTGACTGTGAAATGGAGGTGCTTTCATTTCTCCTGTGCCCTACTTTTTTGCCTACATTACTATCAGCATCATCTTCAGAGCCAGTGGAAAATCGGCTGGGTTGTGGAATTTTACTCCGCACCTCGGGCTGTGGCGAACTAGAATGTCTGGAAGTGATTTGAGTGCCAACACTTTCAATGCCATTCTCACTAACAACTGAGCTTAAAATAGTAACCGATGAGCAGGCTTGGGGTTCAACAGCCTCGTTGGTTACAGTTCCGACGGTAGTAGGGGTTAATGAAAATTCTTCCTTTGATTCTGAAGAGAGGCTGAATTGGTCTGAAGAGCCAGATATATTTAAACTCCATTGTTCTGAAGATGGCCCTGTTGCACATTTCTTTTCCATCTCAATAACGGTACATCGGCTAGATGCCATATCTGAGGAACTTGATGCAAGACTCCCTATAGGATCTTCAGTGCTCGATACCAGAGTTGCCACCTGTGTAATAGAATCACTCGTTGAATGTTCGGGAATGACTGCATGCGGTTCAGGCTGAAAGGTCATTTCATGAGATCTTTTCATTCTTTGAGACCCTCCTGGGTATCGCATTCCTTCACTATCATAATCGTCATCGTACGTATCTTGTTTGTGAGTCTTGAAAGGAGATGAATCGCCACAAATTACATGCGTCGGAATGTCTGTTTCATACGGCTCAAATACTTGCTGGGATTTGAACTCGTCTTCATCAATAGTTGTGGCAGACATCACGTCATCTCTATCAAGTTCTAGTGTTGAGGCAATCAGAGTTTCAGACGCTTCGCTTGATATCTCTACACTAGCCAAATTTCCTGAACTTTCAGAGCTCAAAGATTTCATCGATTCTCTAGAGCTCAAAGAGCTTACCGCAGTGTGATAATCGTGTGATGAGGTCCCAATGTTGGATCGAGAGGAAATCTCGCGTGACATGGCTGATTCATACTCCGAAGAGCATGCTGTTCCAGCAGTGCCTGTTAAAAGAGCCTCTACATCAGAGGAAAGAGGCCTACTAGGTGTTTTGGTGTCAGTCTGTTCACATGATTGATAATTGCTTTCACTAGAACTAGAATTCACATCATGGTCAGCTCCAGATCTGCGATTACCAGTTTTTTTTATGTCTTTCGATCGTTTTTTGAGCAATTTTTTTGGAGGATCTGATAGAGCAACCAATTGGTCGTCATCAACGCCACTAGATTCAGAGATTGGTTCATCAATTTCTTCAGGAAGGAATGGTTCTGAAATACTGCACTTTGTCTCTTCAGAGTGTTCTTTTAATGATGGCGTGGTTTCTGGACAGGCATCAAGGAAAACCGCCTCACCTACTTCTACATCTTTTTTTCGAGACTCGATCCTTGAGAGTTCTTCTTTGGTGCCTTCAATTATCCCGGAAGAATCGGGGCAGCTCTTAACTCCTTTCTCTAAAGATTGATGAACTGATGGACCAAATTGATCACTGGCTGCAGAGATCTGACTGATTTCAACATCCAGCGGAACTGTTGGACCGCTTGTTTTCTCTGCATTTGATGTCTGTGTACTTCGTAGATCTAATGGGATCTCTGGTACATTTGCAATCAATTTATCTAATGGTGAATCACTTTCAATTATTTTAGTAGATGGGGGCGTATGTTCACTATTTTCTGTAAAGACGATGATGTCTTTATCAGGTTTATTTATTTGTAACACTTCACTCTCTAAACTTGATGCAGAAGTTGGCTTGCTTGTGCAGATATCGCTTTCTTTGTCTTTTACTTTAAATGGAGGTTGCGTCGCTTTTTCCCCAAGTCCTGATGCATCTTCTAATTCTGTAGAGCTTTCAACCTGAGGTGCATCCTCTGGAGACTTCTCAAATACATCAGCAGTTAAATCTTCATAAGAACTTATTCTTCGAGTTTCAAGTGACCCCTGAACTTTGCAGTCTTGCAGAGACAAATCAGTTTCAACACCAGTGCTCCTGAGGTCTTCGTCAGTAATCTCGACACTTGATGTGTTGGTGTCTGTTCTAAACATTCTTTGCATATTTTCTCTATGCTTTTTAGCAATCACTGATTCAATTAAATCTTTACTGACAGATTTGTCTACTCCAGATTCATGCATCGATTCCAAAAATTCTGATAATTTGGATTGTGCAGCATCTGATGACAGGAAATCCATGTTTTTCCCACTCAACACCGATTCAATGTCTGCTATGACTCCTTCTGCCATTGTGCGTATTTCTTTCTCATTAACACTCGATGATTCAATCATTTTTTCAGTTAGTCCACCCTCAAAATGCTCTTGAGCTTCGATCGGTACACCTTGATCATAAACTTCTTGCTCATTTTCTTGAATTGGAACTTCCCAGACTGTATCTGGCACATGCTCTTCGGGCGTACATACTACTTGTTTATCGATCAAGGTACTTGTGGCAATGTCATATTCTATGGTATCCCAAATCTGCTTGTCCTTGGAGTCAGCCGGGGTAACGTCAGATTCGGACTGCGTGTCAACACTTTGGTCTGAACTGTCTGTTTGTTGCTTCCCAGATAAAGAGTAAGTGATAGAGGGTACCAGTTCTTTGTCTGGGTCAAATGTTCTACGATCTGGTCCTTCTCTTTCTATTCCTTTTTCCGTTGATTCCAGTTCACTTTTATCAATGTGCACTTCCCCAATGTCCTTTGGCCAGGCTTTCAGATTTGAAGAAAGTGGTTCTAATGATGTCTCTGGAAGATCAGTAGATGAATTAGATTCGTCGTAGCTGCTTAGGTGACTTACTTGGTGCATAGATTCTGATATGATTTCATTCACGACCTCTGAACTGACCACCTGGATCGCATCATCATCAGGGGCTTCGATGGTTTCTAATGACTGGGTCTCTTTGACCGTTTTTTCTAGGCCTATTTGTTTGTGTTCAGGAACGGAGGAATCAATCTGCTCGTTAATCTCAGAACGGAAAATATGCGTATGAATCTGCCTATTTATCATGTCCTCTTGAGTTACTTCTGTAACTCTTTTCTCAGTGTCTGAGATAGTCTTGTATTCTAGAGATGATTCTTCTTCCAACTGAGTCATTAATTGGTCCACAACCATTTCTTTTTTAATTTGAGACTCAAAAATTCTTTTTCGAGTTCTTATACTTTCGTCTGACAGCTCAGAGCACGGTAAGGATGCAGAGCGTTCATGGATAGTTTTCCGAGGGATAGTGATGGGCGGAATTTCATTCAAGCATTCTGAATACCTCTTATCAAAGATACCACTCTCTCTTTCTGTTAAGAATCTACTACTTATGTCTGTGGTGTCGATTTTCAAAGCGGGATTCTCATACGCAAAGTATTCAGATGGATGACTACCAATGTACTCAGTCTCAGAATCGATACTTTTCGTGTTCCGTGATTCTTTAAAGGATTCTGCGATGGTAGTTGCAACATTTACAAAGTTATCTGTAGATGGAATACCAGCAGAGGGTTGCATAGGTTTTGCACTGCTGTCGTCCCTACCTAAAACTTCAACTTTACTTGAAGTATCAGTAGAGTTTACATCTATTGAACCGGAGCTATTGTCTATAGAAATGGAGGATGTCACAGACAGAGTTCGTTGTTTTGCAATTGGTTTCACAGCTCTTGAAACAGCTTCTGGTTTAGGAGCAGGAATTTCACTTCTCACAGGAGAGTCATCGGATGATGTACTACTGGATGAAATCTTTTCCCAGAATTTTTTTGTTGTTTGAACTGAATATGTTTGTGCATCAGTGGTTGAATCGCTGAGTTCCAAGGATTGTTCTGACTTGGGAGGATTGGAGGAAAGGTTTGTTAGGTTAAGTACTTGGGGAGAGGGAGATGAGATGGTTGGAGCTCTTGTTAACTGTTCATGCTTGTCCACAGCTTGCGGGTCCTTCCGATTAGTTTCTAAAGATCACACAATCACACGGACAACCGAGTATTAGAAATTTTAATAATCACACAAACCAGTTAAAACACAAGAAATAGATTATTGTATTATTTGTCAACAAATATTTTAGACAAGATCAGAGTAAGTAAAAGCTGTTGTCAGTCAAAAGTGAAGAATCAAAAGGTAAAGGCGTTATTTATCATAGAGCGCAGCAGATTCAATTTTAAAGATGGAGGGAAAAGAGACGAAAATTCCTACCGGAGGCTGAGGATCTAATACTTAATTGGCATTCAAATACCGTCGATGTTCACTTTGATTGATGTCACCGCAAGAAAAAAAAGAGAGATCAACTTTATTAAGTCGACGAAGATGACCAACTGAAAGGTTGCAAATTCCGTGCAAAAACAATCTGACACTTGCCCAATGAGTCTTCAAAGAATGTAGCAACAACTCAATTTTCTATCAAAAAATAAAAACTCGAAAACCAAACAATGCAACAACCTTGTATCACTTTCAATGCATCATTAAGGACGCAGGGATTTAAAAAAAACAGTGGATATCTATGAGGGTTTTCAAAAAATTGATTTGTCACCACAATGTAAACCTACTGCACGAGTATCCTCATTTATAGCATCATTTTACTGGTGGATGAGAGCAAAAAAGGCAACGATGACATAAATTGAAATATCTCCCACAATGAAAGAAAGTGAAAAGAAAAATGCGGAACATACAAGTGTTCTCAGAGTTTTAAAGATTGATTCAGGCTTGGTCCAAACATTACTTGCAACTTCAAAAGACTGCAAAGAACCAGCAGTCAAAGTCTCCAAAATAAGCATAATGTTTCAAAGAAGAAACACATTTTATAGATATGATCAGGCTTAATTTTGAATTTTTTGAGATTGCACCAATGCTACTTTCGATGCAAAACTCGCCATATATATTCTGGCTCTATAATCTGAAGATTCCGGGTTTGTTTCCCTGGATTACCTCCATCCGCAGGATTAACCCCTCCGGGAAATTTCCAGTTGAACCAAAAGAAAAAAATTAAATTGAAATAATTAAGAGGGAATAATGAAGTATATTTACAGATGAAATGTTTGTTAAAATTATTTTTGAACTCAAGTTATAAAGGGGGCAAACGAATGATTAGAGCCGTAAGCAGGTGAATAACATGCCACTCCAAAAATAAGGATATGAAATTTCAAAATTTCAAATTCTGCCATGTGTTGGAAGTTATAAAGATGTGATGGATAACTCACGAGAAAGCTTCTTCTTATTATTCATTACCTTCACACGAGCTTCTAGACTCGTAAGAAGATCCTAAAGGGCTTTCACTGACGGAACATGGTTTGTGAATTGGATGTATTGAGGGAGACATGGGGCGTTTCTTGAGTCGTGGTGTTGTTTGAGGGCTGGGCTCAAAACTCCAATAAACAGAGGACGGAAAATCACTTGTTTCTTGGACCAAGTCATTCAAAAGATCTTGTTGAGAGGATAAGACAGAATTTGTCGTTAGCTCAAACTGATTAGAGGAATCAAAAGCCACTGAAAAAAATGGAAACTTCTGTAAAATGGTACTTAAGATCATAATAAATTGAAAGTAAAAGGTTTGGACAAAGCAAGAAAAATGAAACTGCACGGAAAGGGGGGAGGGGGGAAGGACGAACTCGAATCCCATTCGAAAATGGAGCTTGAGGCTTAGAAAAGGCTCTATCATAAAAATCATGAGAACATATAAGGAAACTATGTATATTCAGAAGACTTCTATTGGTCTTCCTAAAAACTCTACATTTGACAAACTGTAACAGTTCATTAGTTGTTACTAATAAAAGTCATTGTTGGGAATTAAAAAGAATTACTGCTGAGCATTTAAAAAATATAAATGGAACTTGACTGTGCTGCAATTTTGCAAAAATTGATGTACACAATTGATGTACTTCACACTTCTCAAATAGCTTTAGAGAGGACAGCCACTTGAGCTAAATTTATTCACTGCCATTTTCGGGAGAATTATCCCCTTAATTAATTCGTCTGGTAAAAGGTATTTTGATAATCAACAAATCTTGCTTAGATAATTCCTCTTGAGGTAATTGCTAGCATATTTGTGTCCAAGTTTCCAATAAAATGGACTATCGACCCGGAAAAGTGTGTTTTAAAAGGTTTCTGAAGTGGGCATCTGCTCAGTTTGCTGGAAATCCGTCCACCAAATGTTGTCATCTAACGCGTGGTCATAAATAAAATAGCAAGAATTCAGCATAAAAATAACCATTGTTTTACACGACACACTAACTGTAGAAAGTAAACTGTAAAATAAAGCAGGAAATCCAAACTCAGAAGCATGATTATTTAGCTCTACCAAACTGCAATGCGATGTTAGAGCAAAACTCAGTTCTAGAAGTCATTAAATACCTTCTTTCTGTACAGCATTTTTCATTTCTCCTGGTTGCTTTCGTTTGGATGGCCGATCCTTGCCAGGAGCAAATGCACACTCGTCCCAAATTAGCAAACACTCGTCAACTTCTTCATTCGATAATTGGGAAACGATCCTTTGATATTCTCGATCAAAAGTAGGATTGTTTTTTTCCGCTTCATCCAGAGTTTGCGAAGCCATTCTTTCAAATTTTCGTTCTACTGGAATAAATTTGCTTTCATCACTCAATTCTTCTCCTCCAGAGTCTTGGGCCTCATCTTCCTCATCAGTGATCTCTTCAAATTCAACACCACCTTCGTTTTCGTTATCATCGCAGTCTCTGAAGTCCAATTTAAAGGTGACATTCTTTTTTGGCGTTGGCTCTTCGATGATATACGATGCATTTTCATCATCAGAAGAAAATGGACTCTGTTCATTGGTATCTGGCTTTGTGAATAAGCCCGGTGCAATACCTTTAACGTTACTCTCAAGATCATTATCCGTTGATTCGTCGGAGTCATCGATTGACTCATTATCAGACAATATTAATTTTGCTGTTTCTTGCTCTATTAGCATGTCAATAAACTTGTCCTTGGATTGTTCATCAACAGGTAATTCAAAACTATTAACAAGGACTTCGTCCACCATGTCTTTATGAAGAGGAGGGATTTTCTTAATCTCTAGATCTGCCACCTCTTCGGCACGAGTGACAAAAACACTTTCTGAGGCTGCTTTGGCCACGTTCTGAATTTTATCATGTAAGCTACTTAATGGAGATTCTGATAGTTTACAAACGTCTTCTAGAGCAGAGAGAACTTTTGCGTGTGATTGGTTTACGGAATCTGCGTTTTCTAAAGTGTTGAACGAAGATAGACTCGAAGAATTGCTTGAGGAATCTACTATGTTCATTTTTTCAGATTCCACAGATTGCAAGTTTTGTTTTGGACTGAAATGGGGATCAGATTTCACATTAACCAGGGTTTCATCACTTTCTGAGTCTTTTTTCTGATGTATCACAGATTCAACGAGAGCTTTGCATTCTTCTATACTTTTTTCACTACTTTTCATCAGTTCGTCAGATAGCAAGTCATGTTCTTCATTTTCTTTACCACCTGTAGACAGTACAGATGATGCATTCTCAATGGCAGTAACTAGATTTGAGCTGAGAGAATCTATCTCTACTTGCGGAATAGTGGATGCTTCATTAACATCCAAACTGGGCACATCTGAACTTAAAATTGGCATTTTTGAAATCATACTGATGGGACTATTCCCATTTAAAAAACCAGAGGAATTATTTGAAGGAGTGCTTCCACTAATACAAAATGCTGACTTGAGTGGATTTTGAGTTTGGCCATTTTGAGCAAAAGCATTGTATGGTGAACCTGATACGTTGTTTTTCTCTGGCTGTTGTGAAGAATTAATATTCATTACTTCAGAGCATTTCGGAACAGACTGATTCGACTCGACCGTTTTTTGAACTTTGTTTTCCACTGTTCTTGAACCACAAGTTTCTGAGCTCTTTCCAGAGCTTAATAGTGGATCAGGTTGAGATGACTTCTCATTTTCCATGAATGATTCTATGGCTGAGTCGTTGAGATTTTTTGATGCAGAAGCCATGTCAACGGATATTACAGTACTTCCACTGACAAGTTTCTTTTTTGTTTTCTGCGAAGAGGATTTAGGGTTCTCCATCACGTCAATGGACATCACAACACTGGAAACTGGCGTACTCATATCTGTAGGTCCAAGAGAAAAGATTTTGTTTCTTTTTCCTCAAATAGACAATTAATAATTTAAGACTTATGAAATATTTCATAGTTAAGGAAAAGACATTGATAAAAATTTTTACTTAGATATAGAGCTATTGAAAGTTTTGTTAGTCCTCGATGGAAGTTGACAATTGTCAAATTGAAATATAATTTCATGCTGTCTTTGGGCACAAAAATTGACTATATCATTTGAAACTAATTCTTTGTGACACTAGATTCTGAAATCCAGTTTCTCCACCCAATGTGTCAAAAATCATTCTGATAAAAAATTTGCCTGGGTCCTCCAAGTTCTCTTTTCCCATGGGTAGTCACACGTGTAAAAGTAAACTTATTGTAGGGGCTGGACAAAAATGTTTGCAACTATCTACTGAAAAAAGGAGGAAAAATAAAGATGAAAAAAATCAAAGAGAGAATAGAAAAATTGTAGACACGGTATGATCTCCGCATTTTCAATTTGCGACACATGACTGAGTTCATGCTCATCATTCTTACAAATGATCCCCAGGAGTAATCAGAACAATGCTGTGGAGCACTATACAAAGTCACAAATTCGATTACATACAATGCTAAGGGCCTAAAAAAGCCTGCTCAACTTAACATTAGACAAGATGAAGGCAGACATATCCTGCGTTTTTCTCCAATACAGTTCCATAGAAATGAAATATGGAGACAGAAGAAGTTTGCAGAAATATTATCACACCAAATCGTATTAAAAAAAAGGAGGATTCAATACAAATCTTAATGCCTATTTGAAGAATTCTTGGTATAACCTCAGTGCGTACCAATTACATCCAGAAATATTACATGTATTTGATATGATTACCATATTCAGTAG